TAAATCAAATTTGTTTAACAAGCGGAAACTAATTTTAAAATTTAAAATCTTCAACGTTACACTACAATGGCTTAATGATGAGTTTTTCTCTTCGACGGATTTCAGTTGCATCCTAAAGAGAAAGACGGAATTTCAACTAATGTACACATTCAAATTCATATTTCACATCAATTTCATTCTACTATATTAAGTTTAAGATAGCTGAAGAAAATGACTGAATTTTATGATTTTAAAGAATGATTTTAACTGCACAATTTAATTTTTTGAAAGTTTTTTATTTTTTTTATTTTTTTTGAGCAGACAAAAGTGGAAAGATGGTCGGACTTAGATAAGCAAAGAAGAAAATCGTGGCATGAAACAGAAAAAAGGATTAGAAATCCGAAATTCAAGGAAAAAACAAACTTTAGAAAGAGAATCTACATATGTTGTACATTTGCAGAAATATAATTGACGCTTTACAAATAGAAGAAATAATGAAAGTATGAAAATTCATGCCTTATTCTTTTTTAGCATCCAAAATTTCTAGAAATAAAAAACCAGTTCATGGGATTTCCGAATCTAAAAAATAGCTCACGTCCCAATTTTAACCTAACTGATTCTTCACAATGTTTTGAGAGCTAAAAAATATTTTCTAGATTACTATGGAAAATAAAAGATACAAACCGGAATAAACAGACCAATGTCAGTTTCAATGAAAGCGATATTTGATAAATTAACACTTAGAAATATTAAAAGCTACCATTATAATATCATAAAGTGACTAGAAAGAGGAAAAGAATAATTGTAAGGATTCTTATAGCAACGAATAGAATTTAATCAACTTTAGATAGTATTCGGAATAATATTCTATATTCAAAAAAAGATAATATTCTTTCTTATTTCTTTCTAAATTAAGATTGAACTTTTCCAGGTATTAAGGAAATAAGACAAATCTTAAGGTAAAAGCGGTTTATTATAAAAAAGAATTTGAACTACAATAAAAAAAATAAGCAATAAAGCTATTGAAGTAGGCGAACTGACGACACCTAATTCCGTAACAATTGAGCGAATTGATTCGTTAACTTCCTGCAATGCATTTTGAGTACATTCATTTTACTAAGAATTAATTTGAATTTTTAGAATTTCAATCCATTTTTTCATTTCTTAAAGAGCTAATTTGAAAGGAATATTTGTGATCGACGATTTAAGAATATTGAAATACATTATTGATACATCAAATATGTTTGATAAATAGAAAAAGCAGAAATAAATAAAATAACTATTTTAGTGAGTTAATTAATCATAATTAATTGATCGAGGAAGAATAAAAGAATTGATATTTTGAAAAACAAATAACCAACCATATCTACTTTTTCTCTCTTAAGGTGAAATTAAAACTGAAATGAGCCAAAATTGTGAGTTTTTAGCAATGAAATAATATGAATTTGATGAAAGCAAGACCTATCATTCATCAAGCATGACTTTCAATTCATTTATCTTATCCGATTGTACTCGCTTATATCCAAACTTTCATCTTTTTATTCTTCATAGCTATTAGAAGACCGGTAACTGCATTTTTTTTCTTTTGAATATTCTAACTAATAGTAGATTTTGGATTTTTTTAATTAACTGTTGAAAAATCATTTTGATATTTCATTGCAAAAAAGTGTGACCAAAGTACGATCTCAGAAATTCATTGAGAAAGAGAAAAGTAATGGAAGTGACTTTCTTATTTCAACATTCTCGAATTTATAGCAGAATTTGAAGATAAGAAAAAGAGTTAAACAACGTTGCTATCAAAAGAAGGAACGAAAAGATTAAAACATCATCATTTTCCGAAAATCATCATTTTTTGTCCGAGATGAATTGATACTTACTTGCAGTTCTTGTATTTTACTCCACCACTAATCCACCGTTGAGAATATAGCAGCAACTTTCATTGATTCAAGAAACAGTTTGAAAATTTATTCTAGGGATTAGTATTAATTAGTCTTCATAATCTGAAAATTGGTAAAAATATTTTTCAATTATTAATATATTAGAAGCTTAAAACTTATAAAATTAGGTAGGAAAAAACTCAAATATAAATGCAGTTATCTTAAAAAATTTCTTCATTGGAAAAAAGAAAAAAGAAATGGTTCAATGTGATCGAAGTACGATCTCAGAAGAACAATCTTAAAGAGGTTGGAAGATAATTGCATGGACCAATTTATTGTTCTTCTTAAACTGCTTTTTTTGTTGCTTTGCAAAACTTTAACTTTCAATAAAATTATCTCTCGTCTTAGAAAATGGTGAAGTGACGAGAAGATTTGAAAAAAGCTATACAATAGTTTCCATTCTTGATGTTCTATACATCAGCTCTTTTTGTCATCTATTTACCTAGTTCTCAGCTCAGAACCCAAAAGACTCAAAGCAGATCATCTTATCAATGTATGTAATACAGCCTATAGTACTGCGCAAAAGTTCGCTATGTTTCTTCTTCTCAGTGCAGTAGCCGTACAGCTTCTTCTTTCAGACGATAATTGCCCTTGCCAAGGTCAATCAGTGATTTGAACCATGCAAAGTCCCGGAAGAAAAGTAATTCTGTCAGTCACTACGAACTAATTGATGGCTCTACTTGTACGTCAATGTATTATCCGTTGCTGATGGGCACAACAATTCTTTTATATTTCGATTACGACAAAACATCAATCGAATTGAGATTGGATCTTAAATGGATGATCTCGAGATCTGCAAAAAAATCTGCTAGCTTTATTCCACCATAATGGATAAGCAAAAATAACTATTATGCTTTTAATGTATTACAAAGAAGTTTTTCTTCTATGTATCATATATAATTTACTGTTATAATTACAAAGTTGATGATAACAAATGTCAACTTTACTATCTCAATATCTAATCGAATATTTGAATAACAAAAATTAAAGGCTAACTTAAAAGTGTTATTACCATAAAATATACATAATGGAATGGGATTATCCCCAAATTTTTGAGAAAAAATTACGCAAAATAATAGCTAATTTTCCATTCCATCGAAATCTAATTGAAGTATCCCAAAGACTACAGCACTTATCCTATTACTCATCAAATTTGTTGTATAAAAAGCCAACATAAAACGGATATATAAAAAGATAAGCAAAAGTACGAATAGTAATAGTTTTAACTCAAATGCTAATATCGGTGGACAATTCTCCTTACATCGTTTAACAGCTGTTGAACAGAAGGCAATATAATAAATATATTTTAGGAATACTACCAATATATTACTACCATAAATTGACAAAATCAAACATCGAAAAGTTGAAATGATGCAGAATATTCCGATTTTTTCTAGAAAATTTATTTACAAAAATAGTTATTCATCTTTCCTTAACATGTGATATTCTTTCACTTTTGTTAAACCATTTGATACACTTTGGCATCGTATTAACTTTAGGCTAAATCAACAAAATGCTATTGAAAAAGAATTGAAAGCTAAACTTTCTTCTGTTAAATTCTACTAAGTTAAAATTTGAAAATGACGGAAGTTTAGCTTTTCTCAAACAATTAAGAAAGAAAGAGGATAAGCGGAAAGTGATGGAAGAAATGAAGAGATATCGAATTTCGATCATTGTAAAATGAACAGTTGTGGGTAACCAAATTCTCTCCATATTTCAATTTCCCAAAATGACAGCCACTCATCATTATGATTTAACTGTGATATTGCAGTGATGCTACCTTCTTCCACCTGCAGTCGATTACTTATCTTACAAGAAAAAAACTATTAAATGAAATATTTTATTGCAAGCAATTGGAATATTAACTCCGAATAACTTCAAAGCTCTTTCGCGAAGAAAAACTATTGCAAAAATTTTGTCGCAAAAACTGCTGCAAGAAGACCACAACCGATTACTACTGTATTTCAGTTTGCAATAAAGCAAAGGAAGTTTGCATTGAAATAAACTTTCTCAATAGCTGTTAATAAAAATTGAGCTAAACTTATAATGGTTCTAAGAATGATTTCAAATATTGTAAATACAATTTTAGCTCTCTTCTATTAAATTAAAGTTAAAAAAAATTGTTTTGAACAAATATTCCATACTTACACTTTTCTTGGAAGACACTGTTTCGTTATCTCTTCATCATTGTTGGAAATTCTCAGAAATTGAAAAATAAAGGAATTATGTTTTATTGCTTTAAAAGAGATCAAAATGATAAACTGCTGTTAAGAATGTACTAATTTATGTAAGTATCGAATGATAAGTAATAACATATGAAGCAATTTAATTCGATTCTGAAATGCTGCGAAAGCATATGCATGCAAAAATTATGGCTTAAGTAAATCAGGAAAGTATTCTGAAATAATAAAATAAGCATCGAAATAATCATAATGGTTATAAGAGGCAATTTAAAAATAAGCAAATAATATAATCTGTGGAAGTGGATAACTTTAATTGCAAAAACTATGAATTGAGGACCAATTTTGCAAAGCACTTGTCTCGTTTTTTTTTTTTTTTTTTCTTTTTTTGAATGAATGGAATATGAGCATACAACAGGACGAATTCATTTGTTAAGCGCAAAAAACTAATCCTTGGCTAAATAACAATCCAAATTAATAATGACCAATTGAAGAAGCAAAACCATTTACAAAAAAGATATCAAAGTATATGTAGGCAATTTTAAAAGTTTTAGCAAATTATATCCAAGCAAAATATAAACCCACTTATCACTTGTTTTTAAATCTTATAAAAGCTATCAAAATAATAATTACTGAAAAAAATCCCTTGCATAGAGTGAAATCTGTTTTAAAATATATGAAACAAACTTCAGTATTATCAGGAAAAAGAAGATTTTTTATGAAGGAAACAAGGCAAGGTGAGTTACAACTTTAGTTTTATTGCAAATTGAAAAGGCTTTTCGTTGCTTATCATGGTAAAATGATAAGCAACGAAATCTCTTCACCACTTGTCAATTTTAATAATTTTATGATTCTCATGTTCCTGTCGTACAAAGTAGTTTCAGTGTTTCGCACTTTTTACACTTTAGTATTCCGGACGTTCAACCGTATTTCTCAATGTGTGCCTGAAAAATATATTTTGATGCATTAATTCATTTGTTTCTATAATTTTTGCAAATTTCATTTAACTTTTTTTTTAAGAAATAAAAAGTGACGATTGGAAACTAACTGTATTGGGTATGGATTAGCAACAGTTTGCCATGCTAATTTATCTTCAAATTGCCAGTAACCTTGCCTAATCTGCAATATTCAATTTCTTTTTGGATAATGTCATAATGTTATAGAAGAAAAATTAGACACTCATAAATATAGCACAAAGTTCATTGAGAAAAATTCATACAAGTGAATTATTTTTAAGAAAATATTCAATGCTGCCGAGAGCATTTTTTAAATCTAATTTTTCCTAATGATTCTTTTTCAGCTAAATTCTCAGACACGAAACTGTTCAGAAAATTCATTTGCTTTGCAAATCATTGCCATTCCTATTAAAGAAATCAATGTCTTTAATACATTTTTAAAATACTTTAAAGAATTTTGCTACATGAAAGCAAACATACCTCTGGTATTGGCTCTTTATAGGCACTCTCAAACAATGCTATTTCATCAGGATTTGGGCTTTTTTCTTCATTTGTTACAACTTTCACGCTTAATACAAATAACAGTTGAGAAAAGTTAAATTATTTATCAAACTTACAGTAAATAATAAAAGAAAATATTACTGTGTGATAGACACAAATGTTCATTTGAATCGCAGTTATGAATTGTTATAAAGTAGAAATTTTAAATGGAGAAAATGATCGCTTACGGTACATCATTAGAGCTTTCTTCGTCGAGCAAATGAGCTGCCCAACCGCAATGAAGCATCAGTATACCAACAATAATTAATAATAAAGCGAGTGGTAATAAAGCACCAGCACTTCAAAATTTTTTACTTTTCAGTTTTAAAATTCTCTATTTTGTCTTCGCTTTTTGCATTTCACTAAGTTGTACAACATTTCAGTTCTATATAGAAACAAACTGATCAGTAAAGTTTTCACACACAAACTCGAAGTTTAAATTTCAGCTCATTAATATTCCAAGCCTAGTTCACAGAATTTATCATTATGCGAACGACGAACAAAAATAAACGTAAAGTCCTGGTCCTAACAGATGAAAAGTTTTACTTTTGATTGCTATATCTCACTCACAAGAGGATTAAGTTTTTCTGAGCACTATCATCTCGCATCAACAATCATTAGGAGAACCAATGATTAGCTATTAGAGAACCTTTGCTCTTTTTTTTTTTGCTGCTGTATTTAAACAGTTGATGAGAGTGTCACTAGGTGTGCCTTGTTATATAGTCAAACAGCAATTTCGAAAATAACTAACATGGCAGAACATTCAACAGCAATACAGGTAAGTAATAAACCAAGTAAAATCATCACACCGATTGCAAACAGTATTGCACTCAAGATAACTACACATTTCCTGCAATGCGATAACAGTAAGTATCAAGGGAAACAATTATAAATGCGGAATTTGAAATTAAAATTAAGTATTTTGGTATTTCAAGAATATCTTATATTTTTTTTTTATTTTCTATAATACTTGGAGAAAGTATGTTACTAACCTTGCTGGCCATACGCCAACATACACAGGTACACATGGATAAAAAAATATTGGACATCTTCGACGTAGATACCACGGTTCATACTGAGACATCCCTATGAATAGTTACAAATTAACTTCATATGGTGACATCATTGAAAAGGAGCAGTAGTACTTAGTCATAAAATTACTTACTGTTACCAATTCCTCTTTTGACTTCTCAGTTCTGTTATCTTAACAGTATCGAAAAATAATTTCGATAGATTGTACTAATATATAAGTCAACTGAGTATGTAAAAGAAATAAGTGTTATTTATTTGGCACAAGCATATCTATGATCGAGGACAGTCTCTGAGATAGATGACAGGACAATTGAGGAGACTAACTGTATATATATAATGAAATCCTATTAAAAGCTGCAGTTGATTTAAACAGGTAACATGCATACAGGAAGTTTACAGTCAGTTCATTCAACAAAAGAAACGCAAATATTACACAATACATTGCCATATCTGTAAAGAATGTGAGGGCGGAAATGAGATGACTCTTTTGAGATTATGCTAAAACTAGAAAAAAGGCCAAAGTATTTAAAGCCAAGGTCCCCCAAAAAGATTTTTAAATTTTTTGTTTTTAAACAAGCCAAAGTGACTAAACTAAAACAGTTTGAATTGCAAATATACACATATTTAAACTGCCAGTAGAAAAATACATTTAATTTTATTTAATCCAGCTATTATATGAAAATGATTGAAGGATTCTGGAATAGTTATTAAACTGGAGAGTGTCTCTCCAGTAAATCAATAACATTTCAAGTTTTTTTTCAATATCAGTAACGAATTGTTCTTACTAATGACTTAACCAGCCATATGTCTGATATATAAAACGAGTAAAGTTGAACGTGGAAAGGCAAAGGGAAGTGATGGAAGGAAGAGCTCTCGATGAATCGTTCAATACTTTGGCATATAGTAGTAGTAGCTCAGTCTCGAGCTAGATTAGAAGTACAGGAAGAGGAAGGAGCTAGAACTATCGTGCATCTCAACCTTAACAACAGAAGAACACGGCAGGTGCAACTACGACTAACTGACTCTATCTGCAACTTTAACTCGACGAAAATCGCTAATAATTAGCCATCTATTTCAAAGCAATACTTTACAACTAACTACCACTGATTATATCTCATTCCAATTTTTGCGCTGTTCTCTTTTAAAATTCCTAAGTTATCTCAGCTTACATATCTTATATTTCAAGTAAAAAACATCATCAATTCCAGCCATTATATTATATATTGTATATTTGCCATCTAACAACCGCAACTAGTCACTACTATTATTTAATTTGAAATAACTACAATTTATCTTAAAAATACTAAGTTTGAATTGTACGTGCACTTTTCTATGAAAAAACCAATGGTTAAAGCAATATAGTAATCGGAAATATAATAATGTCAAATTCGATGATATCACCAATGACAGAGAAATTTCTCTCTTTCAATCATCGCTAAGTAATTTAAAAAAATTGTTTGAAAGGGGAAGAATAGACATGAATGAAGAATGTTCAACAGTTAATATTAGCAATTTGCTGTTAGTGAAATTGCTATAACTAATTATCACTTAGGGTCAAAAATTTGATTGGAACATTGAATGAATCCCGATTCATTCCCATACATTTTTTCCTTGTCTTTTGCCACTGAAACAAATATAAAAATGGTATTGCATCTAAAGTTTAATGTCTCAAATCAAAAACTTTGAAACAAAAGGAAAGTAAGTAAAAATATTCATTCATACGTAATTAGCTGATATCAGGAATTTTATTCACTAATGCTTGGAGTTAAAAAACGTGAACGTGAGAAACCTTTGATGGATAAAACAGAATACACGTGAAATGGATAAATTTTTTTATTGATAAGTGAAAAATAAGCAGTCATCAAAAAATTGAATTTTACAGAATAAATAAGAGATTGCTTCACTAAAGCAAACAATCATGCATAATTTGAGAATAAACCTGAAATCACGCAATAAAAAACGGAACTTAACAAAATGAAATGCCGAGATCAACTACTATTTCAAAGTAGTTTCATTTTTTACATTTCATTTTGGACTGTTTTAACAAATTCGTATCAATAATAATAACATTAACGGTGTCAACAATATTTGTTTATAGTTGAATTCAGCTATAAATTTATATGATGCATACTTGTATAAATTGATCTTCACCAAATACAATTAATTATGACTTTTTGAATACCACTACAATGAATTTTTTACTTCACTAAAATTTTTTGAGCATGATGAAAACTTCAAAAACTTCGACAAATATACCAATAACAAAATTAAAAACCTTTTTTGAACGGTAAAAAGTCCACAATTGTAATTTGAAAAGTAAAGAATTAATTTAAAATTTCAAACATTAAGTAATCCACAACTCTGTATTCAATAAAATTTGGGAACTATTAACATTTAACGGAGCAGCTGAAGTTTACGTTATGATTTCGGCATCCTTTAATGTGGGCACACAATTATCAAATTATAATTTATTCATCTCATAGTAACACTTAACAATTCCATTTATTACAAGTCTTATTTTTAGCTTCATAATCTTTCGTTATCGCTTTAACCGTCTTAATTGTTTAATTATTAAGATGGCTAATGAGCAGCGATATGTACTGATTATGCAATGATTACAAATGAAATTAGAATATGAGAAGTCGGAGGATGAATCGAAAAACAAAACCGTTAAATTAAATTGGGCGGAACACTAAAATATACTTCACACGATAGACCAGTTTACTTTTTCTTTGAGTTTCGGAAATGAATGAACTAGTTTTTTTCTAGTTTTCACTTCAGATCATACCTATTCCCTAATATGTATTTAAACAAAATAATCATGAATATATCCTTCCAGTCATACAAATCAATTACTTTAACCACGGCAACCATAATTAATTGATAATTAATTGCTAATTGATTGAAGATTCGAAAAATTGCATTCATTAAAATTTGTCAGTGTTACACATCAACAGTACATCAAATTTATTTATGGGGATAGCTTTCCAGTTCTCTTCCTAGTTATTTAAAACACGAAGAAAATTTTGAAAACTTTGAAGTAAATGAGAGAATGAGATTCATGAAAAAACTTAAGCAGACACTCGAAAGTGGATCACAGAAATTTAGTAAATATTTCCAGATTTTCAAAAAATTCATGGCATAATCCACAATTCTGAAGAAAATTTCAGAAAAAAACTTATATTTGTCAGTATTGATTTATTGAAGCATTCCTTATTCTTACCATACGCTGAGGAACTTATTTTCAAGATGGTGAAGTCAACTTTATACTGAATTAATTATAAATGAATATAAAGTCAACTTTATAATGAATTAAAGAAGTTAGGGAAGGACTATTCTCTACTCAAATTTCCAATTTCATCAAGTACTTCAACAATCTTCCTTCTATTCTGCATTGAAGAAGTCAGCTTAATACAAAATGAATTACCAACTTTCGTACATACCTAAGATAAACTCTTTTCTGCAATATATTAATATAATCTTTTCCCAAAACAAAAGAGATCAAACATGCGACCATATTTGTAGTGGCTTATTTATTTAAGTTTATTTATTCCATTTTACTACCTATAAAGTAAGATTGATTCGCAGTAAATAATTCATGAGAATCCTCATTGTTTGATTGTTTCAAGGGATATGTTGTGATGAAAGTAAAAAGAAAAACATGGTGAGCGATGAGGCAAAGCAACGGATGAAGAAAATAAATGTAAGACGCGTCACTGCGATACGAATTTTGATAAATTGTGAAACTGTATAATCCTTATCCCTTGGTTTATTAGAAATCTTCTAATGACCTTGTTTCTCACTTAATCAAAATAAAGCTATCATACAAGCGTCTTTCCAGTAAGGTCATTTTTTTCAACTATTTTTTTTTTTTTTTTTAAAGTTTATTTGGCAATAAAATTGTATATAAAATTACAATTCGAAAGTATGAGAGTAAAAAGCCAGTGTGAAATAAAACTTATCTACTGAGATTGGTAACTGCCTTGCATTTCTGCTAGAAGATATCACTTGACATCGTTTTCATGGTATTTGTAGAGACACTAATCAGACTGTAACAGACTGTAACAATATATTACATCATGATAAGAAAGTCAATCAGAAAAAAGTTTGATCAACCAATGTAGTACAGGCACGATACAGCAAGCAAGTAAAAAAAAATTTTTTCTAACATGTATCAAACATATGCACAGTGTACAAGAAACACACAATAAAATAAAGCTAAATATTATTAAAAATTTACTAAGGATAAAACATAACTGACGAGTTTACGATAGTTCGCTCAATTGGACAATGACAAAACTTCCTAAAACCAATTTTTAAAAATATATTCATTTCCCTAACCGCTTAACAATCACCACTCATGTTTCGTAGTTTTATCTCTTCGTACGGTTCAAAACTCTTCAGCATATCACTGGAGCATCTGAAATAACAATGTCGTACGAATAAAAATGAAATGAAATAAATAAACGCTTTCAATTTGCCCACAAATTTCATGCAAAACTTCATTTAGAAGTTCGAAGTTCTAGAGATAATTAAAAAATAATTTATGTACCAACAATTCTACACAAATTTAAAATTCAAACAGACTTTTTTTTGGAAGTGTTAACGATTTTATATGCTGAAGGAACAGATGGTGGACAGCGATGTGAAGGCCCCTGAACAAGTGCAGCACGTTCATGTTTTAATGCGAAATCAGCATTAACTGACCACAGAGAATGCTGAAAAGTGAAGCTGGAAACATCGCAAGGAATTCAAAATTTCATTAGTTTGAACACAAAAAAAAAACACAAAACTAATTTAGCCACTATTTTGATTTCCTAAATCTTATATATCAGTAGTCGGTTGTTGTTCGAAAACTAATGCTGTGATTTAAAGCATTTAGTTCAAATGATGATTTTGTCTTTCTGACACCCTCAAAGAATGGACTAAATCGTGAGTAACTCATTTCCTTCTAAATTCTATCTGTTTAAATAACCAACCTTATATATAAAGGATTTAGAAGAAAGCAGTGTTTCTCCAATGGAAAATTTCCAGTTTGGTGATCGTTTTACCCAGTCAGGATTCTACAAAAATTCCTCATGGAATTCTTTTCATCAGCAGATAATTCTGCATAATATTTTCAAGTATCTGTTTTGCTCTTGTAACTCTAGCTATGAAAAAAGATTCGCTGACACTTCTATATTTCCGAAAGTTTTTAAAAAACTATACTTAGTATCATCCATCTTATTACCATGTAAAATTACATGCATACTAAAACAAGGAAGCGATGATATATATCACTCAGGGAAAGCTGGCGTTCCGGTGATGTAGCTAGTACTCGGTATATCCAACATAACAGCGAACATTTGTTTGCCAAGCGCTTCTCTAAAAATATAACGGAACTAATGTATACTGATGCTTTATATTCGTAAGAGATTCCAATAGAACTCAAGATCTGAAGCAAGAATATCTGGAGAGCAAAATAAGAAAGTTAAATTTATAAAGTATCTCTAACAATATGTGAAAATACATAAAATAAACGGAAAAAAAAATGAAATACCACAATGCACATTCATAGTAAATGCGTACCTGTAGAAGTATCATCACACATAATATCTTCAGAGATAGATGCACTACTGGGACTGAATAATAAATTCTTCTCAGTGAAATGGTGAAATGAACCATCCAAAGCAAAGTATTCTAAATTCTTATTATTATCTCAATGAATCACTGCATCCACCGAATTACAAAAATGATTTACTGATGGATGATAGCAGAAAATTCAAGATAAACATATTAATAACTGATGTAACAAATAAATGGAATTTTATAATACGGTTGACAACTGCATTATGAATTTATCCATCTCCTCTATCTAGCAGTAACCCCATTGCTCCAAATTCTAGTACAGTCATACAAAGGCTAAACACGTCAGTAATGGCTCCAGAAAAGAACTTAGGAAAAGAATGTTTACTATACCTCTGAAACATTGCAACGTAAATGGATGTAAAGGGGTTTAGTATCACAGAGCAAAAGCAGCCTCTATCCAACGGTAATTATTCAAAACAACTCCATAATACAATGAATAACAACCAGGTAATCTGTAATCGACAAGCCAATCAAGGCACTTCAGATCGTCGGCACCGTCTTCTTCCTCTGATTTGTCGTCCATTTCACGCTCTTCATTCTCTCTTGCTATACCCACCACCTCAACTGGCATCAAAAACTAACCATTACCTCCAGTTGAGCTATATCACAAGAAAAACCTGGAAATGAAATCGTCAAATATAATGACTAATTCGATTCCTTGACATATTTTCACTAACTCTAACTAATCAATACAGAACTTTTTCATAGTTTCTTCCCACTAATCTACCAAACCCTTTACCTGATCACACCATCAGGAATACCAAAAAAGACTCCCATAGCAAGTAAATCTTGAACAGACAACTTCCGCAACATCAAAGTAATCCGTTTTCACAGAACCGACAAATGAAACTCAACGTCTCAAGTTATTCATTGTCGATGTGTCATAACTAAGACGGTCGTGATATGTTACGTTGGGTGTTGGAGAGACCGAACTGTTATATGTTAAATAACATTGTATTAACTTTATAGAACTTAAGATTGTTATGATTGAACATTCCTTGGACAATTATTCCAATGTCAGGTACGAAATCATTCATCTTATATTCACCTTACATGTATCTTAGCTTATTTGCAGTGTTTATTAATAACGAATACGTGTTGGAATTTATCCCCAATTAGATTGTTTACAGTTATCAGCTCTTTACTTAGTTCACCTCCGTTGTTGTTTGTTGGTTTCTTACTAACTGTAAATTATGTTCGAATTTGACAAGGTTGACAGCATCTCGTTTAACTGACTTCCTGTGCGCTACTGTGATATTATAAATGTTATGAGTTAATGCTTACTATATTTTTGGATAGCAATCTGACATTCACTGGCCCCCACACAACTATTTCCTCGAACTATTGTCAACTGTTGTCTTCTCTGCAAAGCATTAACTATAAACTGCTCAAATTTCACGCATTTCTTCTGAATTATCGACTTCCTTTTTAATTCATATTTGAAAAAGTCAACAAATGACAAAAATGCCACTTTTTCTCCATCTGCAAAATTGTGGAATGACTGATCTGATTTTTTCCATTTAACGATTTTAAAAAACTGGTTCGGGTAAAAATGCTAACATGCTAACAAAGTGAATATAAGTTGTAGTTTTTTAGGTATTTTAGTATGCTACAGTTTATGTCTCGGTGTTTTCAAATGTGTTTCACAATTAAAATGAAATGATCCAATACTAATGAAAGACAGTACAACAATTCCAATAGAGCCTGTTAAAAATTTAGCACAGAGTGGTCATTCATTCCTTTCAATTGTTGTCGACAGTAACACAGTGGGCGAATGTCATCATTATCCACACAGTGACTTTGGCTACCGTAACTATTCACTCGAACAATCTAAATTAACAAAACTGTAAAAATTGAAAAGTGGCAGATGTAACCTTTACTAAAGTAAAGCAATTTGTGCAATAATTGTTCAAATAAAAAAAATAAGAAAAGAAGAATAAAGAATAACTTTTCCAGGTATTTCGAAACTCTCTGCTTTCTTCAACAATTGTGTTTCGTATCTCCCATCACTTGGTGAGGCGCTAACTACTACTTTCAGTAACGGTTGTTCCTTGATATATTCTGCCGAAATCACCTTGAAAAGGAATGCTTCAATTGAGGTTAAGATTTTCTCCTACTTTTACAAATTATTTTCATTTGTTAATTTCGATGAGTTAAAAGACCACTGAGAATTTCGCAATTGCAGTAAAACATAAACGCAATGCGTTAATATGATTTAGGAAATATTTAAATTGAAATTATTACTTCTTTTAAATGAAGTATTTCGCATTTTTCGCCTGCTCCTTTCTTTTTCAAGAAATTATTAATTGCATTAACAGTGAACTGAGCAGCTTTCATAACATTTTCATCGTGAATATCGATCGTGTGCCACTGTTTTTCGCAGATACAGAATTGATCCGGAATTTCCATTTCTTCACATGTCCTGTCAAACTGAGGTGAACATCAAAAGTACTTAGAAATAACTTATTTATTCTTATCCTTTGAAAATGGGAAAGCACTGACTGTAACAACAATATGCTAACCTATCATATTGAATGGGTCTTAGAAGACTTCTTGCTCGGATTCCACCTCTTACCTTGCCAAGTTCTTCGCTGCAATGGTGGCAAATATTTCAAAAATTCAAAAACAAAAGCAAATTAACAATAAATTAACGCTTACGAGAACTGTTTGGAAGCCGAATCCAATGGTAATTTTTTCAATTAAATTTCATTGGAACTACTTGATAATTTTAGAATACAAACACAAGCAAACTTATATGCAAAGAAAAATCAAACGCCAGGATATCTTGAAAAGCAAATGGAACAAACCTGAAATCATGTTCATCCCAATTCTGGAAACTTTCTTTCCTTGCATATCGTGCTATATCATAGAGTGTAGCGTAAATATCATATTGAGATGTGTGTCTTCGAGAATTGCTTTTTAAATTTAAAATAAGCTGCTCATTCGAACGCAAATATTGTGGAACTGCTACCTGAAGTAGAATGAATTTGATAAAAGCATTCGCTAAACACAAGAATTAGATGTACATAATGTAAGATAATCTTTGATGACAAATTTTGAGATATAACTGTAAAATGAATATTAATCAGGGCATGAAGAGATAAAAAGCATCAATTATCATTATCATTAAACAAAAAAAAAAAGACATTGATTATCGTTAATGTTACCATAAGTAATGGATTATTGTCTTCGTTGTATCCAGTACCGGTCCTTCGAAGTCTTCCAAACCGTAATCCATGATCACCCATTACAAATAAGAAAGAATTGTTTAAATTCTCGACATTTTTGCGAAAAAATTTGGAGAAATACTGAAAACTACGAGGCATTAAAATAGATTTAAACAAATAAAAAACTTTCGACTTGCTTTGCTTCATTCAATAGTAAAATCTAATTCCAATGATTTCATTCAAAAAACTTTTTTAGAAAAAAAAAAAAAAAAAAACTGAAAAAAAATGGCCAACTTTATCAGCTCGATACAATCCGCTGGCGGAATTATGTGCTATCTTTGCTAGCCATACCAAAGCAAATTTTGAAAATCCTTTGTATTCGTCTAAGAATTTATCCACAAAATCCATAATTTTGTGATAGTACTCTTGGCACTCTCCCTTATAGAAATGAGTGTTGAAATCTTTCCAAACTTCTTCGCCTGATTTAGTCGGCCGACGTACCAAAGCACTTCAGAGAAATTAATTATAACCTTGCATTTGTCTTGAGAAAATCTTAATTATTCTCATTGATTTACTTCAAATAATTTCCTCTATTGGAAGGCAATTCAATCATACAGAACATATCTGATTGGAATTAATAACTATTTTTGCTTATACTCAAAAATGATGCTTCTTAGACACTAAAATCTAAAAGAATCAGGAGCTCCAGCGATGAAATAAACAGAAATGAACAATAACAGAGTACAAATCTTATCGATTTTCAGATTGTCAAAAAAAAAAAAACTATCTTTACTGAACTACCTCCCGTAATGATCAGTCGGAGCTTTGGGAAAACCATGGCAATTTGGATAGGTGAACATACTCGGCCAATCTTCAGCCATTATCGATGCATAGGTTTGATTTGTAAAATCATACGTTACTGTTTCGTTTATTTTGATGCCATGCTGAAATGCACTTGTCGGTTTCAGTTTATCATTATGAATAAATTAAAGTTAGAATGCTATAACCAACTACAAATTCTATTAATTGACTACTTTACAAATTATACGTTACTGTTTCATCCATTTCAACACCATCGGAAATTTTTGATTTTAGTTTATCATTATGAATAAATTAATCTCAGGGTGCTTCACTAGATGTCTCAGAGATGATTTGCAAATTATGCTAATTTACTAATTTGCAACCTGTATAAATCATAAAAAATAAATGTAATGATGGAATTAGATATCTCACATTTTCATCTATTACAGAAAAATATTTAGTATAATTATTACCTATCAACCTGCTATTACTAATATAGTTCACTTCCTAAAATTTTCGTCGCTTAATGGATGAATTAATTATAGGTCTACCTACCTTACAGAACCGTGGGTGCTCTGAATTGTTTTTGCCGGGAAAACGATTCGCATCTAAATCAATGGTGCGAGTTCCTGAAATAAAATAGGATAAAGAAAAGGAATTCAATTTAGTCAAACGTTTATATGTATATGTGATATATTCAAAAATACAAACTGTAACCCTCATTTAATAGTAATTATAAATTAAGTTTAGTAATAAATAGTGTGAAAATTAGTAATCGAATGTTTCAAATTTGTCTAAAAAATGTGATACAAACAAAAACCTGAAAAAATGGCGTAAGCGTTTGGCCGGCTGTTAAGCGCAATTTTATTATGATGATAAAATGTTGTTGCATCGTAAAATTGACGGAGAATCTCAAAATCATAACTTTTACATGAACATCTACAAATCGCTTCATAAATTTGTTCAACTCTCATTGACTTTTCAACTCTAATCCAAGCTCATAAATAAAATTAAGATAATTTTCTGTTATTGTTCTATATGTTATCATTAGTAATAAATACTTAGAAATCTACTAGATCTACAAAATCCACTCGATAAAAATCAGTAGGGATTGTGTGTGTCTGTCAATTAGAGAATCAGTAGGGCTTATGAATTTATGAATATTGTTAATACTACTAATTGGACTTAGTGAATACAGAAATTATAGAACAATTGACATTAAATAAAAATCGGAATATATTCGAGAAATTACTTGGTTAGTCTTGGCCATCGTGCGAATTCCCGAAGAGAGTGAGGTGGAATCGAGGATAAAGATAAATACCCCAGGATGTAAGTTATCCTCTTTTTGGAATATTTTCTGTGTTGGTCGTATTACCTGAAAAAATTACTCATCGCATTTCATTAACACATTCTTGTGAAAGCTACCACGTGATATTGTCGATTTAGTTGTTTCCAATAATTAGCATTGGCAGAGTGACAAATTGGTAACTACAAATTAAAATTGACGAGTTTCCAACTTACTCAACCTCATGCCGTATTTTTCTACGGCAGCCTAGTCAATCCGAATCAAACTTTTACGACCAACTACTGTCTGGGATACAATTTGATATTATTTAATTAATATATCGTCGTTTAGTAAAGTTTCCGACTAGCGTTTGCATTAGCCAACCAACTACCATCATCAAACAAGCTGGAATTTCCGGTTAAACTTGAAAAGAACCTGAACATGAATATAACGAAACGTGGTCGTATTTCCGTCTGTACAGTGTGTTTCGACAAAATCACAACTTTCATAATATGTCACATTTTTTTCCATTTCTGTCCATTTACCGCTTATAAAATTCGTTTCGCCGTCTTTATAAAGGCATCGATACTCACATTTTGACGTCCTAAGCTGTGATTTAGTAAATGAGCAGACTTAAATTTTGATGACTCAAATTTTGATGACTTAAACTTAAATTCAATCAGACTTAAATTTTTGAGACATAAATACATTGTGACAAATACATTGGATTTATCTTTAGATTTCCATTCATCTCTATCTGCCTGCATGCGTGTTTTCATGTATATTTTATACTACTTTATTTTCTGTTTCGGCTAAAAGAAACTCATAAAACTCGACTAATTCATAAGGCCGAAGTTATCGATAGAATAATAAAACTATGATTCAACGTACGTGTTATCAAGCATTCGAATTGAGCCATTTTTTAATTCTGTATGCATAACACGAGTTACATTGCATTCTTTTAATGGGTCCCAATCTGGGTACAAATAAGGTAGTATTTCAGGATCCCAAGGATCTAAGTCCATGAGACGACATTTTGTAACATTTTCTTTTTCAAATGCTATGCCTGTAAGACGTGATCAAATCGACCCATTATTTTTTCAATATTTCTGATTGTAAATATTATTGCATGTGATTACATAAGTCTATTCTATTCTGAAAATTTTGCTTTCAATCCCTTTCCCTCAAAGTATTATACCTTAATCTTGTTGTTAATATTTAAATATGGCTATCTGAAACCTATGTTAATATTTATATTATATAATTGTTTTTCTTTTTTTTTGGAAATAATCATTAAATGGAAAATATAAAACCACATTAAAAAACCTGCGAAGGTAGTAAATAAAACATTTCGACGAAATGAAGCAAATGACTGTCGTACAATTAAATTAGAATCAGTAGCAAATAAATAGAAATTAAATAACACAAAAAATGTGCCAATGAGAAATGTAAATATGATAAGGAATTTTGTTGCTTTTAAATTCATTATATGTGCTGAAATAATAATCATTTAATGAGACAGCAAAATTTTTACTAAATAATGAATTAAATTTCTGCGCTATATGAGATACATAAAGCAAAAATAGCCAATGCTTGAGACATCATTTATGTTCAGTTATATTATCAGCAAATTTTTTTAAATATAAAGAAATTGAATTTTATTCTATAGGCAATGAGTGAAATAAAAATCTTTGATAATGAGCGCTCTTTTCTCTATTCATTTATATTTGTGCTTATGAATCAACTATTTATTTTTCAAAACTTCAAAAAAAAAAAAAAAAAAAAAAACAATGATTCTAAAAACTTCCAAAAAGCTGAAGGGCTAGCTGAAATATCAGAAATTAATTTGATCAGAGAAATGTTGATTAAAAAAAAGTGCTTTATTAATTTAATTAATTTGGAAATATGAAAGAATAATTTTAATGTACAGGCAAATTTGTTGTATGCTTTAAACTTACCATTTCAGTTCGTGTCAACCAACAAACTTGAAATTGGTAAATCTATCAGTACCTAAATTCTTTTTTTTTATTAGAATTTTTTCCAGAAACAATTTTTTAAATTTTGATTAACATTAATTAACATCAGTCAAGTGATATATGTATGACTGAATATGGGTCTTCACTGGAAACAAAAAGTCAGTAAGTTAGTATCATTTAAAATGATTAAGTTTTAGTATCATTCATATATAGCTAAACAGAAAACTGAAATTGGCAAATCTTTCAGTACACAGTTTTTTTTAATTTTATTAAAGTTTTTTCAACGACTTTCTAATCTTTTAAATTTTGTTTTCAGCGATAGGTTTTTAGGGCATTCAGAGGTTGCATTTATTCATGTATGAGTAAGAAATTCAAAAATGAATTAGCAAATAATTACATAAAGACTCTTTCAAACTATTGAAAAGTTTTCTTCAGCCATTTTTGAAACTTTAACCATTTCTTAACTTCCGTTTAGAACAATGCAATAAGCAAACATTTCCAGCAACTGCATTTATTCATTTACGATCAAAAAACATTTTCAAAATTCATAAATGAATTATCAACTTTTCTATATTATTGATAAGAAAATATTATTAATGTTTTCTTCTGAAATTTTTGTTGTTTAACTTTGGTTTATAAATTTCAAGAAATTAACACGAAGATTAACATCCTCTAAAATCCATTAATTCACATTTGGACAATAATGATGAAAAGTTAAATATCGAATGATCGAAAGAAAATTTTCAGCACTGCTATTGTTCACTCACTGGTCACAAATAAAATTATTTCCCTAAAATTTCCTTATGTAAGCATCTAATGCGATAATTTCTAAATCTTTTCTATCTTCCGAATAGAGATAACCACATACAATATTAGTAGAAATAATTATTGCTAAAATAAAAGAGAAGAAACGTATATATAATAAAACAGATATCACAGAACACTTGAGATAATTGAATTAATGAGTAACGGAGTGAAAAAAATATTTAAATCTAAGATTTGAAGTGAATTATGAAGTCATTACCAGAGAAAAAAAGCTACATTTTATTAGTTAGGCTCGTCATTCCCGGTAAAAATGAACTTACGATTTTTTTAATTTTCTTGATTATCGGTGTAAATAGGTTCTTCATTTGTGGCATAATAAAAATTTCAAGCAGTTGTTGGAAAGTTTTGTAGATTTTGTCGAAGAGACTTTCTCTCCAAATCATTCTTGTTTTTTCAGACATTTTTTCAAACATTTTCAGAAAAAAAAACAATTTATTCGCGTTAAAGAAGATAAAATAAAAGTATCACCAATTTAGTATTTTTAAGGATAACACTTGCTGGAAGCAATTTCTCAAATAAAACTTTGTGTAAAAATAATACAATAATAGTTGCTCATAGAATTTCAACCGAAATTTTCCAGATTTTATAAATCCTATTTAGGAATTAATTTTCGAGAATTTTCCGTATTTCCAATTTGTTCAATTTAAGGTTTTTAAAAGCCAATAAAAACCTATCGATATGGTAATTACATAATTATTTATAATGATTCTGTGCAGTTCTATTTTTACTGTTATTCGGCATAATAATGTTACAAATAAAGTCTTTTCTCATCCAAATTTGATCACTGTCATAAGCTAACTTACAATAATTAGAGTAGATCAATAAAATGTCCCATGGGTCTGGCTGGCTATGACACTTATCTGCGCGCAATTATGAGTAAGATTTGATAGTTTCTAGAAATGTTTTTATCAACTTTTCATTTAACAGCTGACCAGCATTTTGTAATTAACTTTTTGAACACTTCAAATAAAAAAACAAGCTCATAACTAGTTGAAACAATGATGAATATGTTCTAGGGGCTTGTGAACTATACGAGTTCTAATTATGGAACAAGAAGGACACTAAGGAGTGACAGCAGCGTCAGAAGTTTGTTGGTGCAATAGCGACAGATGTTGGCCGTGTCAGGAAATGACTCTTATAGAGTAATTTGAAATGTAAATGGTTTTAATTTGTTACAAACCAGTAAAACTTTTGTGTCAGCTAAAATTAAATAATGTGCTATTTTGTGATAAATGCTGGTATACACTGTTATTAAGGAATAGCACTGCGGTAATACTTGTATCTCAAGTTTTAATTGAGGAAGGTTATCAAATGGTAGAAATGTTAGGAGTAATATTTGTTCTCAGTTTTGATACTGATTATTTTCCTGCTTTTACCATTCTTAATTAGGAAATGTGAATTTAAGGATGCCAGTGATTTAGGCTAATTTTCGATTATTCAGATGACTGGCATCTGGTTATTGTGATTATTTAAGTTTTTCAAGCGTAGGTTGAAATATTTTCACCTACTTTGAAGTTTGATATTTTGAGATGCAAAAATTTATAATTAGTATTTTAT